TTGGGGGAGTCATGTGGGGTTTAAAAAAAAAAAAAAAAAAAAGCTCAGAACAAATGCCATAATTATATCTGATGTTGCTTAAAAGTAGGTGGGAGTGTATAAATGTGTATGAGAGACTGAATTGTGTTTGTGTCTGTCCTGGAGGTGTGTGTTAATCTCCGTGTATGGTGTCTATGGTGAGAGAGTGTGCAGTATCACAGCGGATCATTGTTGGGGGTATTATGATAATAATGATTATTTTAAATAACATCTAAGCACCTATTAGGTGTCAGACAATCTTCTAAATACTTATATGTTGTATATCTGTTAATTCTCAGAATAACTTGACATGTGGTAGAGTTGTTACTTCCATTTTAGGGCTGAAGAAAATAAAATACAGAAATTTTAAGTAACTCGTTCACTGTCACACAACTAGTCTGTGGTAGGTATAGTGGGGATTTGAACCCAGGCCCTTTTATTTTAAGAGCCTGGGTTCTCAGTTACTAAGCTATGCTGCTACCTGTACATTTATGAGTGTGTGTATGGCCTTGAGGATGTCTGAAGTATGTGAAAGGATGTGCATGTATGGGTCTGAGAAAGAGCATGTGATGAGAAGTTAGGGAATGATCCAGGTTTCCTTTCCTGAAAGATCAGTCTCCCTTCCCTTGCCACTTGCCCCAACCAGGATTGACAAGTCCAAGGCCCTGTCTCTACTGCTCCATGCTGCTGACATCAGCCATCCAACCAAGCAGTGGTCGGTCCACAGCCGCTGGACCAAGGCCCTCATGGAGGAATTCTTCCGCCAGGTAGTGTGGCATCTTTGCCCACCCCCTGCCCATGGGGGCCTCTTGCCCCTTTTGCTCTCCGAGTTCTCTGCTCCTACTCCAGATCTTCATTTAGCTACCTGCAGCTTTTGACCTGACTCAAATCCATGGGATAAAATCCCATTATCCTAGAAACTTGACAATAGTTGCCAATAGTTGTATTTCATTTGCATATCACTCATTTCCAGGTCTAAGGTGCAGAAAGTCCTCTCCTACCACAACATCTGGTACGTCTGAGGTATCCTCTCCAGCTTTCTTACGCTGTCCTCTCTCTCCCAGGGTGACAAGGAGGCAGAGCTGGGCCTGCCTTTTTCTCCACTCTGTGATCGCACTTCCACTCTAGTGGCACAGTCCCAGATTGGTGAGTGTCCTTTCCTGCAGGGAGGAGGGGATTAGGAAGGGGAAAGAATGCTGTCTGGGCCTGGGCCAGGATTACTGCATGTCCCCAACCCCAGAACCATGCTTTCTGTAGAGGCAGGCCTCCTGTGCTGGAGCCTGGGGTTCTGGGGAGGGAGACCAGGGGGTGCAATGGCAGAGAGGAGTTCTCTGGGGTCAAAAGACATCATCCCAAAGCCTGTCCCCATTGGGAAGTTTTCAGTCCCAGGTTACCTCTTCACTCCATTTCACATGTAGCCAAGGGTCACCGCCATGCTAGCTGTATCCTCTGCCCAGCCCTCCAGGTAAGACATCTCTACTGTGTTGCCCCCTTCACTGCAGGTTTCATCGACTTCATTGTGGAGCCCACGTTCTCTGTGCTGACTGATGTGGCAGAGAAGAGTGTCCAGCCCCTGGTGGATGAGGACTCCAAGTCTAAAAACCAGCCCAGGTGAGGGTGGCTGGGGTAGCCAGGTCTTCTGTTTCTGGGGGAGGGAAGTTGGACACAGAGAGGACTGACTCATGGGGAGGAGGTATAGCTGTGGTGGGGAGGCAGGCCACTCCAAGCTTGGGAGCCCTTTGCTGCTTGTCACAGTCAGGGGTGGAAGGATGGGACCAGAAGGGTGTGACCTGCACCTGTGCTCCCCTCCATCATATTTTTGATTTTCTTTAGCTCTGTCTTTATATAGTCTTTTTGGCTCATCTTATTTTTATTTTCCTTCTACGAGGAGAGGAGGGTGTGTGTGTGTGTGTGTGTGTGTGTGTAAAACTGGAGTGAGAGGGACAGGGACTTGGGGGTATCTAGTAGAGGGAAAAGGGAAGTTCTTCTTCCTGATCTTCCATCTCCTCCACTCTGAGGTCTATGAGGTTTGGTTCTGGATTGGGCTGGATTTCACTTTTGGAGTTGGGGTGGGGGGGGGGGGGGGGGGGGGTGCATCCTGCTTCTAGCTTCCAGTGGCGCCAACCTTCTCTGGATGTGGAAGTGGGAGACCCCAACCCTGATGTGGTCAGCTTCCGCTCCACCTGGACCAAGTACATTCAGGAGAACAAGCAGAAATGGAAGGAACGGGCAGCAAGTGGTGGGTGCTGTGGGGGTGAGACCTTGTGGGGGTGGTGAATGGAGCAGAGGCAGGTCCCCCTTTTATTAGGCCCCTGGAGCAATTTGGTTGAATCCTAGAGTTGGGAATGGAGCTGATCAGGTTAAAGTTAGATCACAGGAAATACTGACTGGCTGAATGGCCTGCTCCATTCTAGACAGTTTTAGGGGCTGGAGAGAGGATAGGGAAAGCCATAATATTCCTCAACCCAGGGGACCCAGTGCACATTGTGGTCTCTGTAAATGGTGCCCTTGTAGATTTGGGTAACTTGGTGACCCTGGCTGGGAAATCTCTTCTGATATGTGAGTTTTAGTAAGGCCAGAGAGGCTCTTTCCAAATGGGGACGGGTTGAATGTAGCTCAGTTTGAAGGCAGGGCAATGGATGAGAATCCCTTACTTTTCTCCGCACAATCCTTGGGTTCTGGGGAAAATTACATGTTGGTCTAACCTCAGCTTCCTTTATGCCCTTCTGCAGGCATCACCAACCAGATGTCCATTGACGAGCTGTCCCCCTGTGAAGAAGAGGCCCCACCCTCCTCTGCCGAAGATGAACACAACCAGAATGGGAATCTGGACTAGCCCTGGGGCTGGCCCAGGTGAGCCTGTTGTGGTGGAGGGAATAGGGAGAGCTGGGTGTCCAACATGGCATCTTTGTTGGGTCATCTCTGGGATCCAGTGGTTGTGAGGGTCTCCCTCCTTCTAGAACTGAGCCAGGACATGGGTGGGAAGCAGGGAATTCCTCCCACCCTCTTCCGTCCCACAGTTCCTGCGGGAAGAGAGGAGGTAGCTCCTCAGAACAGCAGCAGAACAGCTAGCCTGTAAAGCACCTTGGTGAGCTTAGGGAAAAGGAACCTACCAGGGCACAAGGCTCAGTGAGGCCAGTTGAGTGTGACTGCAGTTTCAGCTCCTGCTTACACCCGTGGCTGGACACCCTTCTGGAGGGCATTTTGTGCACAACTGTACTCTAGACTGAGGGGGATCTGGCAGAACTTGGAGAAGGAAGGTCAGGCTGGAGATGGAGGCAAAGATCAGAGCACTGGCGTCTCTCCCTCTTTCCCAGGTCCTCATTGAATCCAAAGTGTTCGATGTCATCAGCACCATCCATCAGGACTGGCTCCCCCATCTGCTCCAAGGGAGCATGGAAGTCGTGGAAGAGACAACCCACCCGAAGGCCAAATGCCAGAGATTGTGGGGTTGGGGGAAGGGCCCCTCCTCACCTGACACCCATTGGGGCGCACTTTAATCTCCTGGCAGTGAGACTGGGGAACTTCAGGCTCCCAATGGTCACTGTGCCCATCCCCCTGCTTCTGGACTCCCCTCATGGTCAGATAGCTGCCTTGGGGGGGGAGCTTCCTGGAGGCTTCCCAGGGCCTAGGGGGAGGGTCAGAGATGCCAGCCCCCTTGGCCCTCCCCTATTCTTTTTGCCTCCAAGTTTCTAAGCAATACATTTTGGGGGTTCCCTCAGCCCCCCACCCCAGATCTTAGCTGGCAGGTCTGGGTCCCCCTTCTCCTCCCCTGGGAAGGGCTGGAATAGGATAGAAAGCTGGGGGTTTTGAGAGCCCTGTGTGGGGAGGGGAGTGGGTTCCTTCAGGGCATGGTACCTTTCTAGGACCTTGAAATGGGGTGTGGGGGCACTTCCTCTTTACCCCAGACTTGTACTGTTTCAGCCCCATCCCCAGCCTGACCCCCTGTACTCTTCCCTGTCTTCCATTCCAAAATGGTGACTGGGGGAAGAGGAGCCATTGGGACCAGGGACTGAGGGGAGACCTTTCCTGGGGCCCTCAAGAACTTGGGACTGCTCTGGGCCCCTGGGGCTTGTTACCTGCCCTGGGTTAGTCCCAAGCCCTTTGCCTCCTTCCTCTGCCCTGGGGCTGGGAGGCTCCCCATCCGACCAATGTCTGTAACGTGCTTTGAGATCTCCCCAGCAAAGCACCTTCAGGGTGTATCTGATGAACAAAGTCAGGAGAGGTCAGCTGGGTTGGGGTCAAGGGTACGTAGGGAGGGTGAGGTATAACCCAGTAATCCTGTGTTGCTAACCGAGAGGGTTCCACACCTCCTTCCCATCTCCCAGAGAACTGGCCCAGCTGCAGGCACCAAGAGGCCCGTCCCCTAGGACAAGTGGGGAGTGGTGGGGGAAGGCAGATGGGGAGGGGCTCAGGGCTGCTGCTGTCATATCGTCTGGAGAGAGCTCAGCCAGGCCTGGTGCCCCTTCCTTTCCTCAGGCTCCTCCTCACCCCCACCTTGCCCCAGGAAAGGCCAAAGTCCAGGTGACTGCTCTCCTTTCTTGTAAATACCAACCATGCATTTGTACAGTGGGCCCTGTTCACGTGAAATCCATATCCACGGTCTCTTAGACCTTGATACTTGTCCCACCCACCCCACCCTGAGTGGGGCAGAGACGCATGTAACTCACCCCTGCCCGTGGTCTCCCAGACCCTTGCTATAGCCAGAGATCAATAAAGAAGGGAGACGGGGCCTGGCTGTGTTTGGTGTTCACTGGGTGGAAGTTGACTGAGCATCTTAATGTACACAATCTTTCTTAAGCTTGATAAAATCCTGGTGGGTGTTCTCACTATTTATATATATATATATATATATATATGTGTGTGTGTGTGTGTATATATATACATAAACACACATATGAAATCCTGGTGGGGTGTTCTCACTATATATATATATATGTACACACACACACACACACACAAAGAGAGAGAGGGAGGGGGAGGGAGGGAGAGAAGAGAGAGATGGGCAAGCCCAGGAGATGAGGCCTTGCCTGGGGGCACACAGTTGGCACATGGCACAAGTGGGACCTTACACTTCTCAGGCTCTGCTCTTTTTCCTGTGCACCACACTGCTTCAGCAAGGAGGGAGAAAGAATCTGGCCTTCCCTTCTTTCCTCTATTGCCTCCACTACTTGGGAAAGTCAAAAGCAGCGGCAGCAGAGGCCTGGCTGTGTGAGCTGAGGAAGTTTCTTCATCTTTGCTTGGTTTTTGTCTTTCCTGCAGTACCTAGGACAGGGGAGAGATGACCTTTCCATTTCCCAGCAAGAGCATCTTTGTTAATGACCACTGTGTTCTCTATCCATCTTTGATAACGGGTTGGAATAAGGGAGGTGGTCTCACAGCTGGAGAAGGGAACACATTCTGAAGCTTGGGAATCCAAAATGAAGGCAGCTGAGGCTTGGAGGGCAGGCAAGGAGGCATCCACAGGACACAACACATCACCATATCTTTTCATGGGCCAAGTGCCAGGGTGCAGTTCCCCATTTTTTCCAACAGATGGTGCCCATGGCACAGTCACAGCTGGACAGGGCACTGGCCTTAGAGCTGCAAGTCTTCCAGCTGCAGGGCCGCCCTGCCAGCTGGTGGTATCTTTCCTCAATAAGAAAAGAGAACCTGGGGCTATTCTTCCTTCTTGGCACCCTGGAAGCTAGTCCTCCCACCTACCTGACCCTCAGCTCTCTTCCCACGGCAAGTAAAGGCAGGCTAAGGGAAGAACTTCTTAAGGCTTCTGCCCAGCTTCCCTATTTCCTCCTTTGCATAGGCAGTTGGACAGGAGTGTAGGGGGCTGTAGAGAAGGTAGCACAGGAGTGGAGGGAGAAAGGATTCTAGAAGTTGGTAAAGAAGGAACATTCCAAAGACCTAACATCAAATTTATCACTTTTTAAAAACGAGATTTTCCCCCCAAAGTGAAGAAATAAGAAACAAATCCAGTGTCTATGCATTCCCAAACTGCAGTTTTGATTCCAGGATACCTCCTTCTCTGTCAGACCTGTTGTGGGGGAAGGGACAGAAAGAGAAAATGAGAGGACAGAGGGTCACCTTGTTCCCTCCCCTGCTGACCATCCCATCTGTCAAGCATCTAACTTCTCAGGAAGCTTGTTCTGAAGTTTGATATCAGACTCTCCCCCTTGTCCAGTGTATGCAGGAGGAGTAAGGACTGTAAAATCAAATCTCAGGAGGTCATCTAATCAATACATCCACCTCCAGGCAGAGAAGGCCACTGCCCACCCAGTATGGGCAGACGAGGATCTCCTTTTGGGTTCCAAATGCCTTTTTTCCAAACATCCATGGACTACTTCTATCACCCATTCCTGGAGCCAGAAATCCTACATAAAATCCAACCTCAATCCCTCCTGCTGTAGCTTACTCCCATTTTTCTTCATTTGTCCATCAGAGGAGATGAAAATCCTCTTACCATGAAGGCCTGCTCTCCTGTAGACCCGGCAACCCAGCCCTGGGGTCTTACCAAATTGGCTCCTTGGGAATCCAGTGGTGGTATGTGAGTTGAGGGTTCCTCTGTGCTGGGTTCCTCACTGCCCCTCTCCTGAGTTTTAGGGGTGGATTCTGCAGGCTCTAAGGAGGGAAATTGGGTGATGAGAGGGAGAGAGAGCATTTATGAAGGCCTTGGGTGGAGGGTACTGAATCCTGTACCCCAGTGACCACTGAGAAGGGCCCAAGACCACGTTGGGTGCAAGTGGGCAAAACCAACAGGGTTTTGATCATAATTACTACTATAGTACACTATTTTTTCTATTGGTAATCAAAAAAATTATGTACAAACTCAATGTGTGGCTAAACCTGACCTGAAACCTGATATGAGGCTATTTTTAGTCTTTATTTATCCTGCTTAGTGAGGCCATTCATTGGATTGCAGAAATATTAATGTGTTTGTTTACAGGGTGCTCTGCTGGGGGTATTATGTAATACACAGTATTTACACTGTATCACCTTCATGAAATTGGAAAAATTCCAAATTCCCGAATACATCTGGGATAAGGGACTGTGGACATGTATTAACATCCCTGCCAAGTTTCCATTTATTGCATGCTTTGTATGTGTCAGGTGCTGTGCTAAAAAGCCAGTCTCATTTAATATTCACAAACAACCCAGTGAAATAGGCACCATAATTATTTTATAGACCAAGGTTAAGTAAGTTGCTCAAGGCCTCTTGGCTGGTAAAGTGGCAAGTGGCAGAGCCAGGATTCCAGCCTGTGAGTCCTATTCTCATGGTGGGCTCCGCCCATACAGCCACAGTTGAGAGCTCTGAGGTCCAGGTTGGGAGGGCTTGGTGTCATTCACTAAGGAAAGGTGAAGATTCAAATACGTGCAATACATGCAAATATATCCATATCCTCGAGATAGTTTTTGGCTATTACTAGACCTCTCCCAGGCTCCAACTCTTCTCCCCTTCCCCACTGGGTAAGGCTTGCTTCCTCCTGGGCTGGGAAACAGGATGCCTGGGGCCCTCCCCAGCCTTCACATACTTTGTGCTGTCCCAGAGGTGCCCAGCCTTGACTCCACTTCTGTGTCTGTGATCCCAGGTGGGCAGGACTCTTGGGTCCCTGTGCTCTCAGTGGCTCCCTCAGGCTCCTCTCCTTGCTGCTGTTGCCCCAGGTGATGTTCAACCATCATCTGGAGCTCTGGGGGCACAGAGAAAGGGAGGGGCATTAGTTATGAGTGCCTAGAGACTTCCCTGTAGTCTCCCAAATTCAACAGCCCCACTAAAGGGTCAGCACACATTGCTGGGTGTTTGACTTTCCCATCTACTGACATCTGAACAAGAAAGGGACATAAGCTGGGCTAATAAGGAGGGACAAAAGCTAGACCATAAAAAGTACTTCTTTCAAAGGTAAAGGAGGGGTTAGGGAAGAGCCTTTAAGAACAAAAGATGCTCCTAACTTGCTGGGATACATGTTCTTCTCTGTGAGCAGGAGAAAAGAGTCAATTTAGATTCAAGAAATATTGGAGTATCTTCTATGTGCTGTGCACTATGCTGGGTGAGGTCATATATATTATTTTATTTATCTGCCGTAGTGAGGTGTAGCTCAGTAGGTTAAGCAATTTCCTTGAGGCTCCCCAACTAGTCTAGCGACAGCTTCATTATACTAAAGGCAAATTTAATGACATCTCAAAGATTTTTTCCAAATGGTCATTAGTCTACTCCCCAGCTTCAGGCATACAGGGGAAAAAGGGATGGGAAGGGTCTTCCAAACCTTTCATTGTGGGTGTGGTCCTTGTCATCTTTTTCCGTTGCCGTGGAGACATTGCCAACGTGGACTGTGAAGGACACAGAGCCCAGATGGGTGCCAGGCCCCTTCACCCTCCTCCTCTGCCTTATCTTGATTTTGGATTGGAGACTGGGGGTAGGTGTGGGCTTCAGAAAGTGGGGAAAGAAAATTTCTGCTTCCCAACCACCTCCACTATGGTGAGCAGGGAGACTGAAGGGGCGTGTGGGAGTGCGTGTGCATGTGTGTGTGTGTGTGTGTGTGTTATGGGGGAACATGTGTATAGGTCCACTCATGCATACTGTGCGGGGGCGGGGGGTGTGCAGGGAAGAGGGAGTCAAAAGATCATATAGGTGGGGACAGGGTTTTGAGGAATAATCCTCTAGTGAATCTGTGGGTTCTGTGGGCTACACTGAGCAGGAGGAGCTAGCTCACCTTGAGAAGTGGGTTGGGGATCCGGTCTTCATCTATCTCTGAGGGGAACAGGGAAAGGACAAGGTGATAAGGATAGGAAATCCAGGGGACCCCACAGAGCTGACTTCCTGAGGGGAAGGGACTCTGTAATCACCTGCATCCTGATCTTCCCCTCTCATCCACCCCCAGGAAGTTTGTCCTGATGGCTGTCCCTGCATCTAGTGCTGTGGTCAACCTGTGTCTACATATTTGCCTCAGACCTGGAGGTCCCTAAAGACAGAATTTGAGGTCTTTTTGCTTTTTTTCTCTCTCTGAAGTATCTGTGTCTCTCCTGCCACCCATTCCCCTACCCCATGGCCAGAACTGAGCCCTGCATAGGAGGGAACACTGATAGAGAACAGTAAATTTATTCTGTGCAGAGTCCAGGAAGCTACAATCATTTCTGGTAGTTGGAGGAAAGAAGCTGAGACCCAGGTATCCTGAATTCCAGTCTAGCTTTTTAGCCTGACCACCTCTCCTCCACTTTCCTGTCAAGCTTCCCTGGCATTCTCTGAGACCTTGTTCTCTCCCCAGACCTTGATAGGGACACTGAATCCCAGCTGCTCCCTGAGCTGTTTCTAACCTTCTCCTTCCCCTCTGGGGGCTGTGAAGATAGCTGATGGAGGCGGTTCCTCCCCCTCACAGCTGACACTGCCTCTGGGGGTGGGGGCAGCAGCAACACAGTTGCTGGAGAAACCTGGAAGGCTGTTGCCACAGCAACCAGCACTCAGTTGACCACCCCAATTCCTGGTGGTCTCCCTCCCCTTCCTAGCACTCCTCCATCTTCCAAAAGCAAAGGAAATCCTGCTAATGCCACCACCACTTTCCTACCTCTAGGATGTGGAAGTCCCTGACTCCTTAGATCTGCACTTCTGTCTAGCACCCATCTTCTCTCTTGGGGACCCAGCTGTCTGCAGAAGCCCCACTCCCTTCAGTGACCCATCCCTTGGCTTACCTGGGGATGACTGGTCACTGGTCAGCACGAGGGTGGCAGGGGTGGGGCGGCGCCTCCGAATCTGAAGGAAGGTGAGAAAGGGTGAAGAGGTCAAAGCCCCACCCATTACCTCTCAGCAACATAATCCAGGCCAGCCTACTTCACACACCTCAAAAAATGCCGTGTTACACTGACCCACTGTCCCAGGGTGGACATTCTTGGGCCTATCCCCCTCCCATGGGGAGAAGTATTCCTGAGAACCCAGAAGACCACCTCCACTCTCTGCATGCCCCCATCCCCATGTTCTGTTTCTCCACCTCCCCCTAGTCCTGGCCCCAGCTCTCCATCTCAGCAGATATATCTGCTCTGATGCATTGATCTCTGGCCTACTTTCCTTCCATCTATCCTGGATCAATGGTCGGAAATAACCTGAGAAGGCACAGGGCTTTCCCTTGGTCTTCCAGCCCCACCCCAAGCAGACATTAACTTATTGTGGGCCAGCGCCTGCAGAGAGCATCCCTCTAGCCTACCCAGCCTGGGAGGACAGCACAGAGAAGGAAGGTCTAAATGTGCATCTCCCTTGGCCCATGCCTCTCACTCCCTAATGTCCTCCCTATCCTTGGACATGCCCTTTCTGATTTGCCAAGAAGTAGGGTCTGGGGAAATCCTTGTCATGGTAAACATAACATGAGGAAGAGCCCTAGGCAGGACCCTGGAAGGGCCTACAGGTCAGCTGAAAAATCTTATCCTGGGCTCCAGGTCCCATTCTCAGACATTAACATATGAAGCTGATTGACGGCTGGGCCTCAGAGTGCTCCCCAACTCCACTGCTGTTCTTTTTTCATGCTGCCAATAAAATTGATTGTTGTTGAAGTCACTCCAAGGACCTTTGGGATGTGTAGTTTTTCCTTTTTTCTGGAGGCTTTAGAGGCTTGGAAGTTAGTGGAAGGATGGGGTCCCTCTAGGGCAGCAGTGGGGAAGAAAGGCTAATAGGGCTGATAGGAGTAGGGTGAGGATACTGAATGATCAAATCCCTATCTTTTTGTGTCCATTATTTAGTATCTGTCACTGGCAGTGGAGGAGGGGAGGTGGTGAAACACTGCCCATCTTTATGCACAGAAATTGCTACCAGTTATAGCAAGAGGGACTGTTTAAGCCTGAAGGGGACTCTCCCCGAAGAAGAAACAGAATGCATACAGTGGGAGTATGTGGGGGCAGGGCATCGTTTTCCCAGGAGAATCCAGTGGCATCTGTTTTTGGTGACATTTCAAGGTCCCCAGTCGTAGCAGTCCTTTGA